TCAGTAAAATAGTTACTTCTCGCCGGGCGCGGTGGCTCACGCCTGTAATCCCAGCACTGTGGGAGGCCGAGGCGGGTGGATCAGGAGGTCAAGAGATCAGGATCATCCTGCTCAACATGGTGAAACCCCGTCTCTACAAAAAAATACAAAAAATCAGCTGGGCATGGTGGCTCGTGCCTTTAATCCCAGCTACTTGGGAGGCTGAGGTAGGAGTATTGCTTGAACTGGTACCTGGGAGGCAGAGGTTGCAGTGAGCCAAGATTGCACCACTGCACTCCAGCCTGGGCTACAGAGTGAGACTCCATCTCAAAAGAAAAAAAAAAGAAATGGTGTCTTATGATAGTAAACAGATTTATATATACAGATCTTATGACAGTGTTATATAATGGCAAAAAAAAAAAAAGAGAGAGAGAAAAGTGGAACCAATTTAAATGTCTAATAATAGGAAAACGACTAAATAAATTATGGTATCTCCATTTGGTACAACATTATGTAGTCATTAAAAATTATGTTTCAAAGAGTATTTATTGTTGTGGGAACACGCTCAAAACACTTGACATGCTGTTAAGAGATTTAAACAGGAGTGAAGCAAATTTTCACTCTCATTGTTTCTGTGCTGCCTTGATTCGCGGAGAAATCATGAAATTGAAGAGGGCTGAGGAAATCAATAGACACCCCAGAGGGGTCCCCTGGGCTACATGCTTACCACGCAGTTTATACATAAGATGATACCACTGATGGGCTGGGCTTGGGGGCTCATGCCTGTAATCCCAGTGCTTTGTAAAGCCGACTTGGGTGGATTGCTTGAGCCCAGGAGTTCAAGACCAGCCTGAGCAACAGGGCAAGACTCTGTCTTTACAAAAAAATACAAAAATTAGCCGGGCATGGTGGCGTGTGCCTATAGTTCCAGCTACTCTGGAGGCTGAGGTGGGAGGCTCATTTGAGCCTGGGAGGGTAGAGGTTGCAGTGAGCTGAGATTGCACCAGTGCACTCCAAGCCTGGATGACAGAGTGTGAGACCCTGTCTCAAAATATGTATGTGTGTATATATATATATGTATCTTAGTATCTTAAACAATCATTCGGGCTTCTGCCATTAAGCTCACGATGAGACCAAAATCCAAAACCAAACATTCCCACACTCATTTCCAGAGAAACGAAGGAATCTTCTCAGCCCCCATTTTTCCCAAACAAGATTCTCTTCATTGCTTTGGTGTTGCAACTGTACACCGACGTTTTGGGCGCTGCTTGAGTTCCTAACCCTCTTGTGAGCTAGAGATTTCGGGTCTCATTCAAACACAGAGACAGCAGGGGCGCTGGCTGGAGAGGGAATCTGCCGGGGTGCGGGCCTCTGGGGGCTTTGCTTTTTCCCACACTGGGGACACTGGATGTTAACAAGTGTCGCCCAACATCTGCTGCTTGCTCGGCCTGTACGTCTATTCTCCCTCTCCTCATTATGGGCATATAAATCCCTTTCCATGCCCTGGACTCCTTCTGCCCACATCTGTCTGCAATTTACTCACCATGTGCTGTGGCTGGTGAAGCCTCTTATTTATGACTTTGTAGCATTCCAGGCAGGATGCTTGTGGCGGCTGAAGGTGCCCATCTCACTGCCTTTCAGGAATGCAGCTACCTTGAGTTTGGATGGACTCAGGGGAGTCTGAGGTCTGGGCCACCCCTCATGAGAATCAGACAGGCAACATCTCCAAGCAGATCTCAGTATTGGCACTAATGGTACTACACACCAGGCCACGCAATGTATGCCTCCATCTTCACAACAACTGTGTGAAGTAGCTACTGTTTATTAGTCCCAGTTATAGGAAAAACAGGCATTGTTACCATTACTCTCAGCAAAGGAATCATGATGCAGGAAGGTTAAAGAATGCATCCAAGCTCTACAACCAGAAATACCATTTGACCCAGCAATCCCATTACTAGATATATCCGCAAAGAATTATAAATCATTCTACTATAGACACATGCACACGTATGTTTACTGCAGCACTATTTACAATAGCAAAGACTTGGAACCAAACCAAAGGCCTATCAATGATAGACTGGATAGAGAAAATGTGGCACATAGACACCATGGAATACTATGCAGCCATAAAAAGGAATGAGTTCATGTCCTTTGCAGAGACGTAGATGAAGCTGAAAACCATCATTCTCAGTAAACTGACACAGGAACAGAAAACCAAACACCGCATGGTCTCACTCGTAAGTGGGAGTTGGACAATGAGAACATATGGACACAGGGAGGGGAACATCACATACCGGGGTCTGTCGGGGGGTCGGGGGAAGAGGAGGGAGGGCATTAGGACACACACCTAATGTATGCAGGGCTTAAAACCTAGATGACAAGTTGATGGATGCAGCACACCACCACGGCACCTGTATACGCATGCAACAAACGTGCACATTCTGCACATGTATCCCAGAACTTAAAGTAAAACAAAAAAGTAAAAACAAAAGAACGCATCGTGGCTCACACGGCTAATATGTGGTAGAGGTGAGATTCAAGCTCAGATCTGACTGGAGTCTGCTGTCACTGCCACTGAAGTAAGAATCGCTTCTATCTCTCGCATCTGGGCCAACTTCCTTCCCTGCGACCACACCCAGAGGGAAGATGAGGAGTCTCTGCAGCAGGAAAAAGCCTCTGCTTCTTCCGCTCATTAGCTCTGTCCCCTTGGTCAAGTTATTTACTCTCCCTGAACCTTATTCAGACATCTCCACCTGAGAAATGGGGTTTCCAGCTCCCAGCAGGACTGAGGTGAATGGTGGATCACGTGCTTAGAACAGAGCTGGCACCCGGTAGGTGCTCAATAAAGCTCCCTTGTCATGAATACTGTCAAGTCCTTGTTGCTTATATTAATATTCCCACAAAGAGGCAGATCTGTGTCCCTGGGCAAGGCCAAAGACTTCTGGTGGTGGATAAGAAATCTTAACAGCACAGAGTTAGGAAGGATAGTCTGTACAGCTCTGTGGCCTGTGGGCTGCAGGGAGAAGGATGTACATGACGCTAACGGCAGGAACTATCCATCACCTTTCTAGACATTACCTTGTTCCATTCTCACAACCTCCTGCGAAGCCACTGTTAATGTCCCATTCCTCAGATCAGGAAACTGAGGTTTGGAGAGGCTGGGTTGTACATCCAAGGAGCTGGGGGTAGTGGGGTAAGGGAGCTTCTGTTTAACTCCCTGCGCATCCCTTTTAGGCCCAGGAACAGCTAAGGAAGGTTTTTCTTCTCCTCGCAGGTCCGGAAGAGCACTCAGGGGTGAGAATCCTGTCCCTGCTCAAAGACGTGGAGGTCAGTGTCTCTATCCCCGGGACACGGAGTGGGTGCTGCTCCGTCCTGAGAAGGGGAAGGGATATTACAGGATCCCGGGGAGCTGGCGTGGAGGGCGGCCACACAGATCTGCCTAGATGGCCGGATGGCTGCAGAGGCAAAGTGTGCCTACCCGGCAAAATGACTTCCCAGGCATGCCATGTCTGCTGGGCCGCAATGCACCCCAATGTCTATTACAGCTTCAAAAGACCACCCCACATGCTGCCACCGTGACCCCACCAGAAACAAAATCCCAGGAGAGGAGGGTCATCTACCTGCCGTGGAGAGCAGCATGTACTGCTGAAAAGAGCCACCTGTCAAGAGTGCTGTGACATTGAGAATACAAGGCTCACCCCCAGTTGAGGACTTCCCAGACTTCCTGGAGGATGGTCAGCTGGGCACTGGACAGATAGCCTTCTTGGCCCGCTGCCCATATCACACCTCTTATCAGAGAATTGGCTCTCAGTGAGCCAATGAATTGTCCAGCAAAATCCATTCTCCCCTTTACCCTGTTAGAGTCCTAACTGGGACAAGGCCACCCAGGTAGAAACTACATTTCCCAGAACCCTCTGCGTCTAGGAATGGTCACATGACCAAGCCCTTGCAAAGGACCAGAGGGGAACACACACACCCAACCAGCCTCAAATGCTCACTGTGGGGTGGGTGGTTAAGGAAGAAACAGATTCTTTAAGCCTCTATGTTTCAGGTTCTCTTTGCTACAGCAGCATGGTATTAACTTAATAAACTCGCTTTAGCTTCAGAAACAAAATTTTTAAAGGATTCACTGTTCTAGTGAATGGTAAGTGGACAGCAGGTCGCAAAGATTTATTGTCTTTTCTAGAAGGAACAAGGACGCTAAGAGGGCCTAACAGAATCAACGCAGACCCCTGAGGCTAAGTGCTCCCCAGATGTTTCAGGCCTGCGCTCTCCAAGCACTGTGGAGTCCACTGACAGGTTGCAATGATGGCTTCCAACCTTTCTCAAATAACCCTTGAGGCCCTCAAATAACCCTTCTTCCAGCCCCACGAAGCGTGGGCAGGTGCCCCTCGGGAGAGAGGGTTGTGGGTCCCTCCAGGGAAACGAGGCTGAGCATGTGGCCACCGGTTTCTTCATCTCCTAAAGCAATTTCTGGCTGAAGACACACCAGCCACGTGGTAGCTATGGGTCTGTGGTCCTTGTCTTCAAAAGACCCTCTGGAGTCTACACCATGTCATCTTCCAACTGCTTCCTCCAGGCCCAGGAGAGGCCACCATGTGAGCAAGAGAGGACCGCCTGGGATACGGACACGTCCTCCAGCAGAGAAACCAGCGCATCCACACTGTGCCCTGAGCGGAGGCACGGAAGGACCCCGAGGGTGCTGGATAAGAGAGACCCGGCTGCTGGGCCAGCGTCCTGGTCCAGCCAAGATGCCCACCCGCCATTCACACCTCAGAGGGACGTACCCCGCATCCAGCCATATGGACAGTGTGTGACAGTCACACTGGAGGAGGAATGGCATCTGCACCCATCCCACAAGAGGCAGAATTCCACCTGAAGAAGGGGCGGGGCAGCTGTGGCTGGAGGTGGGTGCTGGGAGACCACTCTGTCCATCCGCATCACTTCCCCTTATGGGGAGAACCCTGGATCCCTGGGGCCTGAGCCCCCCGTAAGAGAACCGCCGCTGGCTCGTCACTCACCCTGCAAGGCTTCTTTGGCTCTGGCTAGCTCCTGCTCCTTCTGGGCCAGCTGGACTCTGAGCTCAGTGGCCGAGAGGATCTCGGAGGACTTGCCGCCCTGTGACTCCTCCAGGTCCTTTGCCAACATCTCCTTCATCTGCCGGAGAAGGTGAACTTCCTCCTGGAGCCGCGACACCTCTTCCCGCAGGAGCACTAGGGAAGAAGGACACAGGGTTAGAGGACAGGGTGTCGGCGGCTGCTCACTCGCTTTTTCTGGGGATGCCGTGAGGTTGCTTTGGCTTTTTCGTTTGCTTTGCATTCAGGGCCTTTCCTACACGTGTGGAGGGAGGAGAAGCCCTTAAAGCCACTACCTTATTCCAAAGAGCCCAAGTGCTGATTCTAGGCCCCACCCACAGTCTGCAGAGCACACCTCGTGAGACAGCCCCCCGACCACTCGAGGACTCCACTGCCACTGTCCCTGCACTCAGAGTGTCCACTCTCGGGGCCGATGGTTGTAGGAATTAGCATCATAACTATAAGCCAGCAGCACGCTGAGTTACATGTATTATCTCATTTAATCCACCAAAACCTGTGGAGACAGGGACCATCATAACCACATTTTACAAATGAGGACATCGAGGCCCAGAGAGATTAAGTAACTTCAGGTGGTCATAACATTAGTACGGAGCAGAGCTGGGATTTGAACCAAGGCCCGGCTGACTCCGCAGCCTGGGCTCCCAGTCTCACGCTTGGGAAACAGCCATAAAAGGAATATTCAACACATTTTGCAAAACAATGGCCTTCGGGAGCTCAGTACTGTGTAGAAACTTGTGCATCTGCACCTGAGTGTCCTGCAGGAAAAAAGGGTCTAATGAGCAGTGACAAGGTGACACCATGGGCAGAGGTTTCTGCAGCACTCAAATCAAACCCTGCGTACAGAGAGGCCCCAGGAATGGGGCCAAGGAGAACTCGATGTCTCCTGGTCCCTGCGGTGCCTTGGGAGGGGACCCAGAACATGCGCCACCCTCCCAGAGTGAGAGACGTGACAACCAAGGTATTGTCAGCTTCTCAGTCCTGCGGGTGGATAGACACACCCATGCCCAGGTCAGCTCACCTGGGCAACGGAGAAAAGAGAACTGCCAAGGGGTGCTGGGGGCAGTGAGCAGGGCAGGGGCATCAGGCTGTGCACAGGAGCCAGGCTGCGTGTACCTCTGTGCAACTCTTAAGAGAGTGCGTTAAGAGAAGAAGCCAACCTCACTTAGGAGACGCTGGAAGGACATGCTGAAATATTCATTAAGCGGGTCCTCTCAAGAACGAACAGACAAAGGTGCCACACTCACCAGCCTTGTGCTGGCCACCAGGACTCCCCCATCCTCCACACAGGCTGCTCCCCTCCCCACGCTGCCTTCCCCTTCCCCTATTTTATATCGCAGAGGGACCTGGGGAGGGGACAAGGGCAGCCGTGGCTGGGGCCAGGCCTCTGCCTCCATCCTCCGCCTCTCCCCACCTGCAGTCACACTGGTCCCTCTCTCTGCAATATGCCACACTCGTTCCAGCACAGGGCCTTTGTCTCTGCGGTGCCCTCCACCTGAACACCCTTTCCCGGTTCTTCCTGTGGCCACCTCCCCATTGTGACACAAGCGTCCACTCCCCATCACCTCCATGGAGAGGCCTTCTCTCGCCGCCCTGTGTGATGCTCTATTTATCTGTCTCCTTCCCAAACTCAATATGGGCTCCGGGGCAGGTGAGGGTGCAGGGCTGTCTGTGTGCACCACTGCTGTGGCGGAAGCTTGGCACGCTCTGCCCCCACCGCCTGCGCCCCCACCCCCTGCGCCCCCACCCCCTACCCCCAGCCTCCTTCCTTCTTGCTCTTTCTCCGCAACACTCCTCAGCGCTTGTCGTGCTCTGTGATCCACAGGCTGGTTGTAAGGCCCAGGAGGGCAGGAACTTGAGTCTGTTTTGTCCATGGCCACATCCTCGTGCCTAGAACAGCACCTGGCACCTGGCTGCCCTCGAGAATAAACAGCTGAAGGCACCACACTCACCAGCCTCGCGCTGGCCGCCTGGCACAGGCTGCCCCCTCCCCATGCTGTCTTCTCTGTCCTGATATTCGCATCGCAGATGAACCTGGGGAGGGGCCAAGGGCAGCCCTGGCTGGCCCAGACACATGCAGGTAGAGCCAGGAGCGTCCCTGCTGGTAAAGGGGATGTGCACTCCCTGGAGGTCTGGTGCACAGTCCTTGCCCGTGATTCACGGAAGGGGCGTGGCTGGGGCACAGCTTTGGAGTCACCAGGTCTCCAGCCAGGCATGTGGTGGCTGACGTACAAGTCCCTGCCTGCTGAGCCTCGGACACTGCATCTGTTAAATGGGTTCAACCCTCTTCAGCTGTAAGGCTCCTTGGGGGCATTGGAAGTGGCCCTCCTCATAAAGGAAGTGCTCCATGTACACAGGAAGTGCTCTGTGTATACAGAAGTGCCCGTGTACACGGGAAGTGTTCCATGTACCTACGAAGTGCTCCATGTATACAGGCGGTGCTTCATGCACACAGGAAGTGCTCCATGTACACAGGAAGTGCTCTGTGTATACAGAAGTGCCCATGTACTCGGCAAGTGTTCCATGTACCTACGAAGTGCTCCATGTATACAGGCAGTGCTCCATGTACACAGGAAGTGCTCCATGCACACAGGAAGTGCCCCATGTAGACAGGAAGTGCTTCATGTACACAGGAAGTGCCCCATGTATACAGGAAGTGCTCCATGTACACAGGAAGTGCTTCATGTACATATACAAGAGGTGGTCTGTGAATGCCATGCACACAAATAGGGTGCAGCGGCACTGCCCTTTCTTAGATGCTCTACTTTTGCCATCGGTGCCTGCTGGCAATCTTTAAGGCACTACAACCTTCGGGACTCCCTAGGAATCCCCTGGCCTCCAGGCTGGGAGGGCAGAGCCAGGTCCAGGGGAGGGACAGGCAGAGGGGGAGCAGGGCGGAGGCCTGAGGATGGGGTGACTCTCTCTCATCAGCTGCCTTGGGAAAACGCGGTGGCACCTCCGGCCCCTATTCATTCCCCCTCCACCTCACAACACTTCCCGAAGCCTCGATGGGCCCAGCCACCCCTGTGAGGAGAGGAGGCCTCCCAGGGCACCTCCCTGCCCTCCCAGCTACTCCTAACCAGAGTCCTTCCTCCCCACAGAAGCCCGAGGGCACCTCTGAGGTGCAGGGGGCATCTCATTCGGTACCAACGGCCTCCCTGCCCCATCCGGCACGTTAGCTGCCCCTTCGGCCCTGTCCGAGGCCTCCTTCAGGCTGCCGGCTTCTCTCAGTTCTGGACGGCGCTCGGCTGGCCGCACCCCGGGGCCTCCGCAGGGCTGTGGCCGGCCGGGGAGCTCCTGTCCCCTCTTCACGGTCTGCTCCCCGCGGTCTGTCTCAGCCTCACTGTCACAGACTCAAGAGGCCTAAGACGGCTCCGCCCCGTCCAGTGGCAACAGCACGCAGGCCACCCAGACAAAACCCCACAGTGACGTCCAGGTTCCGTCGCCTCCCAGCTGCGTGCTCGGGGGACACAGGACCGGACCGCAGGGCCCGGTCACAAATCCTGCCCCGTCTCTGTCACTGTGGGGTCTCCAGTGCTAGAAACTGTCTGCGAGACACGTCACGGGCACTTGGTAATGTTTCTCCAATGGCTCCATCCACCCATCTACACACAGGGGCACTAGGTGAATGCCCCAGACAGGCCCCACTCCGAAGCTAGTGTTCCCGGACCCCACCCTCAAAGGACCCCCAAACCTCATGCCGCGGAGGCAGCCTGGGAACTGTCCAAGTCTCTCAGCAAAACTGTTAAGTAGGAGGCTTGCTCTGGGCGCCCTGTCCCTGGCCTCATTCTGGATAAACATTTGGGGCTCACCTACACTCCAGGCCAGGGGAGAGAAGGGAAGACCCCTGGCCTCCAGAAACCTCCAGCAAGTAGACGCACACACGAAGAAACAGAATACAGAAGGGGCCACATCTGCTGGCAGCACTCGGACACCTTCAAGAAGCTGGCGGCATCCCAGATGGGCCCTGGAGGCTGGGACTGGGGAAGGAGGTGGCTGCAAAGCTGGAGGGTCGTGAGTGACCAGGAAACGGGTGCCAGGTGAGGAAGAACAGGAGGAAGGCTGGAGAGGTCGTATTATAAAAGGCCTCAACCCCAACCACCCCTCGGTGCTCACACCTCAGCTCACCGTCTCTAGCAGTCGCCAAGGCTGGAATGTTCTCCTCTTGAGCCGTACTCTTCAATCTCTTATTTTACCAGGGCCCCTGTTCCCTCTCAGCTGTCACTAAGAGTCTATTTCACAATAAGATATGAGTGACTGTTAACAGTATGTCCGTTGTCACACAGGTAGAAGAGGCAGGTTTGTTTTTGTTTATTTTATTTTATTTATTTATTTTTTGAGATGGAGTTTTGCTCTTGTTGCCCAGGCTGGAGTGCAGTGGCGTGATCTTGGCTCACTGCAACCTCTGCCTCCCAGCTAATTTTTTATATTTTTAGTAGAGACAAGGTTTCACCATGTTGGCCAGGCTGGTCTCAGACTCCTGACATCAGGCGATCCACCTGCCTTGGCTTCCCAAAGTGCTGGGATTACTAGCGTGAGCCACGGTGCCAGGCTTTTTTTTTTTTTTTTTTTAAGTGACTTTTGGGTCTCCTCCAACCACCCCGAGGAAGCCACCAAGACTGTTTACTGTTGTCCAGGAAGAAGGCAATGAATTCCAAGAGACTTGGCTTCAAACCCAGGCCTGGCCGGGGCCTCGTCATGACTTTGTACAAGCCTTGTGTCACTTTTCTGGGTCTCAGTTGTCATGAATGCTGCATGGATGCCACCCACTTAGGGTTGCCAGAGTAAGCAAAACAAATCGGAGTCATGGCAAACAAACACCCCTAGATGCGCAGTTAGATTTGAATTTCAGATAAATAAACAACAAATCATTTTCAGTATATGTCCTAACTACTGCAGGGAAACGTACTTACATTAAAAATTGATTCATCACGTACCTGAAATTCAAATGTAACTGGGCGTCTTGTGTTTTATTCCAGCAGCGCTACTCCCATCTCATGGGGATTTGGACACCATGAAATGGGGCAACCAGGGGTGCGGGCTGTGCCTGAGCGCTACACAGGGGAGGCGGGGCAGGCACTGGAAAGCGTCTGCCAAGGTCTCCTCTGCACCCTCACTCA